TCTGGAGCCTGCAAAATATCCAGTGTTGTTTGGGATTAATGAAAAGGTTTATCGAACTGTGCTCTCGACTCCTTTGATAATTGCTGTTTACTTGACTAACTCTCCATTGTCAATAAACAAAATTGAACGAAACTACAAACGCAGTCTATTGATAATTCGATCGTGTCTAGTGAAAATATTCTTTTCTCCAGATCGTGTAAAACATGCATGTATTTAAATGATGTTTCTATTCACGTCTTTGTGACATGTTGTGCTTGCTGTTGAGGTCATAAATTAATCTACCACATCTTTCAGTAATATAGAGTCTTTAATCGGTAGAAATACGGCTAAAACTTTAGACTAGTGGTATTGTAACGTAATGCCTGTTTCCAAATGTGATCCTTCCGTATCGCATTTTTTTATTTTTATTTTTATTTTTTTTTTTTTTTTTTTTTTTGTTTGTTTTTTTTTGTTGTTGTTTTTTTTTTTTTTTGTAATCTAATGTTGCAAACCCATATGGGGATCATATTAGGTAATTTAAATTCGTTTTTTGCGTAATTCATTACCATCATTGGCTCTGGACACAGCGCTCTATATACACCCTCCCGCTGGACAAACGGTTTACGTTGGATCCTAAATAAATAAATAAATAAATAAAAAGCAAACAACAAAAAAAAGAAGAAACAAATCTAGGTTAGCTGTTAATTGATGTGAGGAATGAATAAACCGGAATTTTAAGGCTACATAGGTTTTAGAGCAGGGAGGAAAATCTGTAGACTCGATTGCCACCCATGAAATAAACACCTCCAAAAATCTAAGTGCTTTACTTCAGCTTTATAATCTAAAATTATCGCTAAATGTCTAACAAACAATCCACCATAGCTTTTGACACGTTTCACGATGGCGACTAACATACCTTTGAGTTGGTATCGGGATCTCATATTCAATATATTTTGCTTCTCTTGTAGATTTATCAATCGACGCGTACGTCCGTGAATCGTTCCCTTCAGGCGTCTACGAAATAGACAGTTTTATTGGTTTGGAAAATTTTAAATGAATATTTTTTGTTTTTGTTTTTTGAAAATAATATTTGGATCCTAATGGGTAGTTTTCGTTCTATTTTATGTATAATTACCATCACTGACTGAGGACACAGTGCGGCATATAAACTCTCCCGTTGGACAGACGGTTCACTTTGGAGCCTCTCATTCATGGTCTCATTTCCCGCGGAAAAACTAGACTGGGCACATCCATTCAAAGTAACCATGGGCAAATTGCCTTGAAAGTCGCGTTGATTTCTGTGTAGAGACAGGTTACAAATAAACATTCGAAAAGAAACAGAAAAGTAGGTTAGTTATCAATGGCATTTGACAACAGAAAGACAACGACTGCTAACAGTAATACAACGAAACAAAAGTTCAAAACACAAGCAGAAAACAGCTCGCCATATTCATCAGGCAATTAGAAAGATATCAAATAGACTTGAAAGAAACCTGAAACCACTCAATGAGTAACAATAAGAAAACGGTTTCAGAAAAAAGAAATAGACACTTACGATGATTCTTTCGACACTGCGCTTTCTGCATCTAAAAAAGATGTGCATTTAGGAAACATGACTTTGGTTAACACTGTATGTAAAACAGACAGGTTTGTATCGTACCACAATGCAACGGTGGCAAAAGCAGAGCAAATTTTTTTTTCTTATCGCAGAGATTTGTGTCCAAACAATGATCACCAGTAAACCTGTAGTTTCAATAATTGGCAAACTTCTTATTACATATTCAGGGCTGCTTTTCAATACGGCAACGCTTAAAAGCACAACATCGACAAAGGAAATAAAACTTAAGAAGTCAAATGCAATTAGTTGTAGTTAATGACTTTTAGGAAGTAGTTCGGGATCATGGTTTCCTTTCCCGAGGTATATGGGTAGGTCAAATTTATGGAAACAAAACGACCTCTTATGTATATAACAAGGATTCAACAAGAAATTGAAAAACTTTGATTTGATTCCGTTATACATTGTCAAATCTTCAGTTATAACATAGCGCGCGTGCTTGCCCTATATAAGTCCTATTGAGCCGCTATAAACAAAATCTTTACTTACGCACGCCCGTGCGTAAATCAGATGATGTGAGCATTTTTTTGACCTGGCTTCAGAGATTCCGTCCTGTTAAGCTGCAGTGCAGTTTTCCTTCTCTTTGAAATATGGAGCAAACCAGCGATGAACTGCCCAATTTTTCTATCGGAATTGACCTTTTACTTTCCTGATCCAACAAGCAACAAAAATCAAGCCGAAAAAAACTCGCAAGTTGCACGTTTCGCAAATTTGTCGGAAGACCGGGTCTTTGACTTTTAAAACATTTTTAGTGACACTCGAGTTCATTTGGTTTTGATTTTCTCCATTTTCCCCGTAAATTTTGAACTTTCCCATGACAGTTATCGGTTAACTGGATCAAATGTTCTCGCTCAAACCAAGCCATGAAATGTGGCGTGTTTTTGACCAGCCAGTGGGGACGTTTGGTTACTTTTTTTGTGTGTTGTGAGAATTTTGCACTCTATCACAATAAAAGGCTTCTTTGCGCAGATCCTTGTTGTCGCTCTGCTATAGAAGAATTTGCTCATGCTTTTAGCTGTGCGTATATTGAGTTAGGAGGCACTTGGGAAGTTTGGAGAGCATTCAAAAAGCTAGAGTTTCTCTCGGCTGCGCCTCAAGCTACTCTTACGCTTTTTTGTGCTCTCCAAATTTCCCGCGTGCAAACTCGATATACGCATGCTAAGCATGAACAAATTCCTAATTTTACTTCGCAGACTCAGTGGATGTCACTGAGTGAAAGAAGGCCAATAAATGGCTTCCATGGAGAAGCGATATCTAAATAAACGTATCGTTGATATAATTTTCAGATGACCAAAACGCAAATAATGCAAGAAACTTACCTTGATTCATACGACCCTGGTGTCGCCGAAAAAACAATACTCCGAATGCGACTGCAATTTCCAAGATGAAAATTGCTAGAAGCACTATGACGATCAACACCAAGTTGAACGTGCCAGTTGAAACGTTTTGCGGAGAATATTCACCTACGGCAGTCTCAAACGTAGTCCCTGAGCAAGAAAAAAAAAACATATATATTTTTTTTTTCCGAAATGGTTTTTCTTCTGTTTTCTGAGAAACAAAGGCCGATTAAACCGAAGAAGGTTCTAATGGACACTAAAACAAATAAAAAGGCTGATAAAGATACGTTAATAACCAAATGAAACTTAATGTTGTTTACACGAATGTTAATCGGTCGTTAAAATATTAACAAATGTAATTTTCTATAAACACATGAGTTACATTTCTACTCCTCCCAGCCCGAAACATTTTTATTAAGATCTTAAGCTTTGTTACTCTCGTAGTTTATGGCAATCCAATATAAAATTAGGCATTAAAACTGCTAGAAGTATGTAGACGTTTATAAAATAGACACAGGTGACATTGATATCGTTACATTATACCTTGTGTTGAGAGATTGAATGTGGGTCGGTTTTGCAGTGTTGAAAATGTTGCAGTTGTTGGTTGGGCGTACAGTTTCCCCACCTTTGTTGATGATTCTTTAAAACGAATAGCTTCCGGTGTTTGTGGCCTCCGAGCTGACCCTGACAGAAAACAATAGAGAAAATTAATTTTAGAAATCGTTACGTTTAGAACTACCCACGAACCTACTAAATACCTCAATTTATTTCACCTATATGCTCACAAAATATCAATAAATTGAAACTTAGTTGTTTTATTTCATCTTCCTTTACCTAACAATGTGCGAATTGATTCTACTCATGATGTGATTTTTATCACGATGGTATATCAAACCTTACACGAAAATGATGTTAGACTTTGTCACTAGCTGGGACGGATTTTCAGGTAATAGGTTGAACTTTTACAATAACATTATCCGTTAGTCTTTTAACCCACTTATTTGCTAGACTTAAAGGTTACGTAGTCCTAAAAAGTTAATTCTTTTGAGTCTCTGGTGTCGCTGCGCATTTTCACCACTAGACTTCAAGAATAGTCGATTACGTCAAGGAGGCTTTACGCGCGTCATTCCAAAGATTGTTAATTCTGCCTTCTTTGGTACTCAACACCGCCAGGAGACTCTCAATAAAAATAGAAATGTGGTTTGTCAATCAATGACAGAAAAAAATAAAACAAAAAAAAACAAAAAACAAAAAACAAAAAAAAAACCCGCAGTTACCCTCAGGATAGAAGTCCTTCTGGTTTTGCTATTTAATCTAATAGGAGAATGGTGGCTAGCCCTACCATTTTTTTCTATTTTTCCATAGTCACTCTTAAGCATTCGTTTGAGTTTCTTCAAGTTGAGTCACTGAAAGCAGGGTAGTTCGAGAACCACTCATTTTCCTTTTTTACAAGAAAACTATCATGCTGCCAATACGCTCAAGTTAATTGAGGAAAAGCTAGAGGGAAACATTCAATTTTTTTTTTTTTTTTTTTTGCAGAATGAATCACCAGTTGTCACCAGCTTAGCAGAGTAGATATTCTCCGAACGTTTCTTACTTTGAGAAAAACTGATCCAAAAATAATAATGATAATCATTATCATCTTAATATCTATCTGTCAGTCACAGACTAGGAGCGAAAGCCTTTCGGATTAAATTATTACATGACGAATCGTCCTCGAAATTGGACGAGATGCCGAAATTGATAGTCGCTGCCAGGGCGTCTAAGTGTAAAATGGTAGAAGAATGATTCCTTCTTTATAGAATCTTCCCTTTAAGAGGGACACTTGTAGAAAAAATACATTTTAATAACCCATTAAAACGCTCAAAACATCGCTTCTAATTTGTTTTATTCTTACCTAATAAGGGAGTTTACTGTCTTTTGCATGTTTTAAAGCTTGATTTATAGCAATAGATCTTCTAGTCACAGTGTCACATAGCACTTTTTTTTCCAGGTGCTGCTAACGAACTGGAATCGCGTATAAATTTTCCTAATTCTGTATAGTTAAAATTTCTGTCGAAGAAAATCTTACCTTCTGAAAGCTTATTGCGAGTATTCGTCAATTGAGTTCTGAGTGAGGTGGATGTTTTCTTTGTCGCCTGCGGTTGGGAGGTTGATCGAGGTCGTGTTGTTCTCTCAATGAAGGTATCGTCATTTTCTGAATTGTTGGATAAGGTGGAACAATCTAGGAAGAAAATATTAACACGAGTTACCCGCTTCAAAATCAAAGTTCGCTTACAACATTTTTTTTTTCTTACTGAGATTTTTAATTGGGTTAACATAGCTTCGGCATGATCATGAACTTACTGACTTGCTTTTCACATATATATCCTGGATCATCATTATAGTATGTTCCTTGGCACTTTATGTTGCCATACTTTCCGTTTTTCCACATCTCTCCGCATTTTTCTTTTTCAAAATTGTTTGGTTCTCCTTTATTCCAACGCCATGTTCCAGCTGATGTCCCGTTGACGCAGGCGATGCTTCCACTCAACCAGTACCATGTATGAGATCCATCAACTCTTTCCAAGCCAATGAACCAACGTGTCTTTCTTCGCTTTTTGGTTAAGTTCTTAACAAAGTGCCATTCTTTTTCGGTTTCCATAGAGACAAGTGAACCCCTCTCTTGTTTGCGACATTTTTCCTTGGCTGCACTCCAGCTAATTTTTTTGTCGTGGAAAGTATACTTGGAGCAGAACGCAACTAATGTTTATGGGAAGCCAACCGATAAAAGAGAAAAAAGACAAAGAAGGATTAATGATCCGTTTACTTATCTTTTAATTGTATATATCACTCAAGAATGAACCAACGTGTCTTTCTTCGCTTTTTGGTTAAGTTCTTGACAAAGTGCCATTCTAATTTGGTTTCCATAGAGACAAGTGAATCATTCCCTTGACGGCTACATCTTTCCCTGGCTGTACTCCAGTCAACGTTTTCCTCGTGGAAAGAATACTTGGAGCAGACAGTAACTGATTTTTATGGGAAGCCGATCGATAAAAGAGAAGAAATACAAACAAGGAAAAATTTTTTATTTACTTATCTTTGAATTTTGTTATATCACTTAAGAATTAGAAAAAGCTACACAAAGAAGGAGAACTGAAATAAACCCTCGGACACACACGAAAGTTTTTACATCTGCTATGGTGCAGTAAGGATTGGGTGAAAGAAACTGTGAATTTCCAAGATTAGATCTCTACATAAGTCAAAATACGTCTGAGGGGTGGCATCCACCTTCCCTTCCCTTTTAATCCCATTTTTAATGAGATAGAGGTGAACTTGTACTTTGTTTCTGCATTATTACAACGAATACAGATACCGTAGGGGTTATCACACTAACACTACTAATAATATTAATGTCTTAGTACAAATAGAGTAACAAAAAGAATAATGACAAAGCTGTATGAAATAGAAACGAAATTACAATTTTTGGCATAACCAGTTCCGGTAGTGAGTGACACTTAAACAAAAGTAACAGGGCGCTGGCAAAAACTAACGAAGCGACCGACTTAATTGAAATCAGTTGGTAATGAATATTATCTAAAGAAAATAATGCTTATACCGGCGAGAAATAAAACGCTAGAGGATCAAGTTTTGATGATCGACTCATGTCCTTTGCAATTTTTTTTCCTCAACCCATCCGTCGACCCTGTTCGCTTTTTCCTGCCAAATTTGTACAATCCTGACACACTTTGAAAGAAAAGCATTGAAACAGTTCGAGCGGATTCCCCGCAAGAAAGATACATTAATTTTATGGTGTACACGTTCGAGGGTCTTTAGTTCATATTTTACATGGATAAATTCAAAGTATGATTTAATACCTAGGGAGAAATGTGCTTATAATTGGTGACATGGTCTTCAGTAGCATCAGTGACACCAAATGCAAACAGAAATATGGCGCATTTCGCGGTTCTCAAAATATCCCGCAGATTCAAGTTTAGCGCAGAGATGATCGAAAATGTTTAGATATTTAAGAAACAGAGCTGACAGAAGCTGAGGGAAGCTGGTTTGTAGAGTATCAGCTTAAAATAATCGACTTATGTCCTTTCAAATGTTTCCCTAACCATCCGTCGACCTTGTTCGCATTTCTTGCAAAATTTATTGAAACCTGACCATCTTGCAAAGGAAGGCATTGAGGCAATCGCAGCGAAATCCCAGCAAGAAAGATACATTTACAGTGCACACGATTGATGGCCTTCAGTTTATATTACACCGAGATGAAGTCAAAGTTTAATAATATACTTTAGGATAAATGTGCTTACCATCGGTGACTTTGTCTTCAGTAGCATTAGCAACACCAAATGCAAACAGTAAAAAAGTGCAAGCGGCAGTTGTCATAATATCCCGCAGATTCCAATTTAGCGCAGACACGGCCGACATGTTCAGTTAGGTTGAAACCCGTTTGAACCAGCGTGATTTGCTTGAATACGATAAGGCTGAAATAACGAAGAATTAAACTTTATGAAGTGTAAATGAAACAGCACAGGCATACTCATTCGTTTATTGGTTTCCTCAGCCATTTAATAAATTCGCTCTGATTAATACTGTATTCCTGATTAATATTGAGAAAACTGACAACAAACTTCAAGTGAAATTTGTATTGAATATAAAAAAAAGGTTAACTGAAGGATTTTTAATTTGAGAATGTCAATTTTTGAAACGGGATACTCGCAACAAAAATATTTTTAGCTCAAATGCATGGCCAATCAGGAAAATGCAATTAAGGAACTTTTGATTTAAGTAAACTTTTTCTAGACCGTACTTTCCCTTTAAATAAGTATTACCTATTTATTCACGTCAAAACAGAAAAAGATGATGTTCACTTGAACGGAAAATGAGCTCTTACTCTTGGAAAAAGCGAGATTATGCGAACACTTTCAAACATGTTCTAAAAGGATAATCCAAAATTTCCCTTTGCTTTCCAGTCGGTTAATGAAAGTATTCGTTCCATTATCCGGCGGTTTTCCTTCACGGTAAACACCCGGAAAACGATCGTTTTCTGTACATAAAAGCGCGGTTTACAGCCGGCAAACATATTTGTTCAATCAACTTGAATATTCTTCCCGAATTAAGAAGGTTTACCGCAAGGGAAACATTTTATAAAATTGCGGCTACGTACGTTAAAGTTGTGGTTACTGAGTAATGTTTAGAAAAAAGTTTTTATCGGGCGAGGACAATGACTATGTAGTTGGCTATAACAAGAGAACCAGCGGGATGAAGCCGGTGTTTCGTTTCTTTTGTGTTGCTGTTAGCATTTTACAAACTGAAGCGTGTGGTTCATAAAAAAAAGGCTCTAGGAAGTCTTGCCATATCGAAGAAAAAAAAACCGCTTCCGTCGGCTCTGCCATTTATCATCTTATATAATTTCGATTTCAACAACAGCGAACTATCTAAAAAATTTAGGAAAGTGAGCAGATTTCTCTTTATCATTCATGAATGTTGTCTATTTCAGTTCAATTTCAATGCTCCCTATGAAGTAGTCTGATCTAGAATAGGTCTGGTAATTTTGCCGAGAATTAAAAGCTCTAAGAAAGTAAATATAGATATGACGGTAAGTGGTCAAGTTATTCAGCGATAAAACTCTCAAGGTAGAGTTTGGATCAGACATCTCCACAAAAACTAGGAGCATAGGAGTTGTATTCGGCCATGTATTGGAAACTGAACGATACGTTAATTATTCTTAATTTGATTGACACTTATAAGTTATTATGTATGTATGCGGGACGTGTTTTATCGCCCCATATATGGCACTGTTCCACGTGCTAACAACAGGACATTTAATGTGTTTCTTTCGAATAAGCCGAGAGTTGTGAGTGAGAGTTAACCGAAGCGTTGTAGTAAAATCGATAAATCAAGTGAATAAATCGTGACTTAGTAACGAAGCGTACATATGTATTCAAGGTAATTCACTCTACAATTGGACCACGACTCGATCCTTTCGACCGACCAAATCTGGAGGAGCAAGTTAAACTGATTTTGAAACCTCGCTCGCAAGAGAAAAAACTGCCTTGCGTAAATACTGCAAACTTATAGGCAATTAACAATAGAGAAACATGTGCCCCTCCCTTTTTGTACTTCGCACCCCGAACGAAGAGCTCCGTTTGCCGACAACTGTCACAACATCTGTAGGAGAGTTTTTCTTCAAGGAGATTTAGGAACCAATCCGGGGAGTGGGGAGGGGGGAGAGGGAATTGACGAGGTCTGGAACAATCACCCTAGAGCCTTCTTTAGAAAATCCTAAAAAAAACTGGTAAGCAAAAAAAATATCGATATGTCAACGCAATGAGTCTTGCGCCAGGAGGCGAGCTCCTTCACCCATCGCGCCATCTCTGTTCACAAACATATGCGCTTGTGCAGATACAGTTTCCTAGCTTTGTTCTGCTTTTTTTCTCTATCAGCGACTACAGTGTTATGAATGAACTGATATTTTTTTTTTGTTTTCTTTTCTTTTCTCCTTCGGGTTAAGCATCTTCTGTACAACGGAACTTAACTGGTATGTAATGTTTTACTACGCTTGAAAAATTTAATTTGAAAACATAATTGATGATATATCGTGATAATTACGAATTCATATAGCTATATTACTATAAAAGAAACGCCTTGACTTGTTTTCTTTTTATTATCGTTATTATTATCACAAGTATTGTTACAATTATTATTATCACTATTTGATGGCGAATCTGCTACAAATTCCAAGCAGTAGCAACAGCGATTTCCACTTCACCAGGCGCAGCATGCGTGAACAAAACATATTGTTTAGACGCCAAAATAGCATAATTTACAGTCCATTTACAAGAAGTGGGTTTCTCAAACCACGATTGAATCAACCCAGTGTCAACGGAAATTCTTATTTTCCCTTTGTGGCTTTGCTGGGACAAGAGCTATTATTACATTGTTTACTTCAGCTTTATAATCCTGAATAAGTGCCGATCGTCTTACGAACAATCCACTCAAGCATTAACATACTCAGGAGTGGGTATTTGGTTCACATATTCAGGAGCAGCAATTTGATTCACGTATTCAGGAGTAGATTTTTCATTCACATATTTAAAGTCGCTGTCTTCCCCCGTAGATATGTAGGTTCAGGAACCCTCGCCTTCTGGAGCCTGCAAAATATCCAGTTCAGTTTATATGTGAGAAAACTGATGGGTTTATTGAACTGTGCTCTCGTTTCCCTTGAAAACTGCTGTTTGTTTGACATAACTCTCCACTGTCAATAAACGAAATTGAACGAAACCATTAACGAAGCCCAGCAATAACTAGATGGTGTTAAGTGTAGATACGGGACATTATTTTCTCCAGATCGTGAAAAATATGTATGTATTTAAATTACATTTCTATTCATGTCTTTGTGACATGTTGTGCTTACCATCAAGGTTATCAATAAGCTTACTACGTCATCTTATTATATAGATTCTTTGGCATAAATACGGCTAAGCGTAATGCTTGTTTTCAAATGAAATTCCTGTACCCGGCGAGAATGTGATGTTTTACCAGAGAAATTGCGATTTTGAAATAGATATATAAAGGAAGAGATAGATCGATGTAGCTAAGTAGTTTGAAAACACTTTAACTTATCACATTTTTTTTCATTCCACTTTTTTCTTGTAATCTATTGTTGAAAATTCATGGAAGGGTCATATTAGGTAATTTCGATTCATTTTATGCATAATTACCATCATTAAGTGGCTCTGGATACAGCGCGGTATGTACAACCTCCCGTTGGACAAACGGTTTACGTTGGAGCCTAAATAATTATAATGAAAACAAACAAAAAAGAAAAGAGGAAGCAAATCCAGGTTAACTATTGATTAATTTGAAGAATGATTTCAACCGGGATTTTAAAAGTACATAGGTTTTTGAGTAGGGAGGAAAAATTGTGGACTCGATTGCCACCCATAAATAAACTCCTCCCAAAATCTAAGTGCTATCAACATTTGGTTTACTTCAGCTTTAAAATCCTGGATTTACGCTCCACGTCTATCAAACAATCCACCATAGTTTTTGACATGTTTTCTGACAGTGAAGCATTAATATACCCATGAGCTGGTATTGGATTCGCGTGGTCAATGTCTTTTGCTTCATTTGTAGATTTATCAAGCGACGCATACGTTCGTGAACCGTCCCCTTCAGCCGTCTGCAAAATAAACAGTTTTATTGGTTAGGAAAACTTTAATTTCATGGTTTTGTTTTCCGAAATTCGCATTTCGACCGTACTGAGTAACTTTTGCTTTATTTTGTGTATGATCACCATCACTGACTGAGGACATAGTGCGGTATATACACCCTCCAGTTGGACAGGCGGTTCACTAAGGATCCTCTTATTTTTGACTTCGTTTCCCGCGGAAAAACTAGGCCGAGCACAACCATTGAAATCAATCAACGGCAAACCGTCTTGAAAGTCGTGTCTATTTCTGTGTAGTTACGGGTTACAAATAAACATGCAAAAAGAAAAGTATTAGTTAGAAACAGAAATAGATACTTAGGATGATTCTTTCGACACTGCGCATTCTGCATCTAAAAATATGTGCATTTAGAAAACATGACTTTGATTAACACTGCTTATAAAAAAGACAGATTTGTCCCCTACCACATTGAAACAGTGGCAAAAACAAAGCAAAATGTCTTTGTTTCCGCAGAGATTTGTGTCTAAACAATGATAACACGTTAACCTGTAGTTTCAATATTTGGCGAACTTCTTATTACATTTTCAGCTTTTCAATACGAAAGCGCTTAAAAGCACGATATCGAGAAAGGAAATGTAATTTGAGAAGTCAAAGGCAATTAATTGTGGTTAATGAAATTTAGAAGGAAGCCAAAGGGAATGATTTCCATTCCCGAAGTGTGCAGGTACGTCAAATTTTGAACTGTAATTATATACACCGTTTATGGAAACAAAGCGTTCTCTTATGTATAAGCCGAGGATTCAATCAAAAATTAATATGATTTGAAAACCGAGAAAAAAAAAAAATTGTTTTGAAATAACCCTTGTTCTGATTTCGTAATACGGTTTGGCTATCTTCAGTTTTCTTTTCGCAGACCTAAGGAACGTCGCTGAGTGGAAAAAGGCTAGTGAACAGCCTCCATGTCTTATTATGAATAATGGTATCTCTTTTGATAAAATTTAGGGAACAATTAAGTGCGGTGAAGAGAAAGTCGCGAACAACTACATTTCTGTCTGAGGTTTTCACACCTTTAAATCAATTAGGAAGTAGACATTTTCCGTTCTGTACTAATCAAAGTTGATAGCTGTATTAAAAATTAGAAATAATCGATTTAATTCCCTAGCGAGTTCTCCTTGACCATTTTTTTTATCCATTGAAAGTGCGATTTGGCGGCAAAAAAGTGTCCTCGTTAAGCGCGCGGCGAAAACGATCATCTTACATCGTTGTGACGTATTTCTATACACTACTCTCGAAAGAATGTAGCTGCATGGCCAAATGGACGCGTTTTGATCGTCGACATCGAGGAAATTTTACTTTTCAATGTCGTCGGCCTTATGCTCCGTACCGGCTCTGAAGCTGATCGTTATGAACACATACCACCGGACAAATCAGGGGAAGATAACCAAAGAATTTAGCTTAATAGAATGCTGATTAAGGAGTCGTTACCACACCGTAAATGATTGTTCAACACTATCTTCGCCTGATGAATAGTGAGTTTATTATTTTTGTTTATTTCACGCGCTTGAGATGTACTCATACTCCTTGTCTTTCCACATTACTTTATTTGCGCTTTTCTCTTCGTTTAAAAATCCTACCAGTTGTAGTTTCCATCGTATTTTGTTACTAGAAATACATAATTTCCTGAACTGACCGATATCCTGTTACGTGAACGGTGCGAAACCTCTGGCGGATACTGGCGTAAGCACAAGCTTGAAGGGGCCGTATATTCTTCCAACCTAAATTTACGAAAATTCATCGCACGAGCCATCAATTCCCCCCTGCCCTCAAGAAACAAAAAGTAGTAACGGCTGCAATGTCAATGTCATAACAGCACTGCAACGAGATAAATAAAGAAACAAAAAAATTTATTGAATTAGATGGTGGCGAATCCAAGTGCTGTGTGAAAGTCGATGCATACCAAATATTAATTAACAACATAAAAAAATACTTTTTAGACAAGCTCTAAAACATGTTTCTGTTTTTTTCAAATTAAAATGGTCAGTTGCCATACTATTGTTTACAAGAAATAAATTAATTTTTTTATTTTTTTTTGCAACATCTAGTGTATGAGTCACATTTACCACAATTGATCTCCTTAGTTTCCCTGGTCAACTCGTGGACTGGGCATAAGGTACACCTCATACTGTTATACTGAAATTTGTTGCTGATTTCTAACAGAGGTTTTGGAGAATACGGAGATTTCATTCATGATAACATTTCTTTGGTGTCAAGCAAGAGCAATGTAAGATTTTTCCCGATAAGTGCATGTTGTAATTGGTACATTGGAAGTGACAAATGAAACTCTGCTATTCAATTAAACAATTACATGGATTGATGACAACAACAACAACAACAATAATAATCATAACAACAACAAGAGGCATTTTTTGACCACCCATGAGTAACAGGTATGATAGTCGGGAATTTTGAGCATAATATCAGGGGAAGGTGGGGGATGGAAAACTGGGTTAGGGTGACTAGTGATGGGGCTAAATAGAATTGGGAGAGGTATCTCAAATCATGAGTTGAATTGGCATCAATGCTCATCCATCAAAATTACAGCCTGACCTCCCTTGTATCACAGATTTAAAACCAGTGTTGCCCCTGTGTGGAGGGATCTCTCATATAAAAAGGAAAGAAGTGCTTGTCGCAAATTTTGAAAAGAACTCTTAAAAGGTACCAAGATCCTGTTTTATGGGCATAGCTTGATATGCTTTTCACCCCTAAGAGGAAACAATTCTGAAACAACACAGTTAACCCTAGAAAACCGGCGTCATTGTGCAGAGTTTGCAGCTGTTGCTGTAAGATCTGTAGCCTTGGTCTGCCAACGGTTGTAGGTTGTTTAGCCCCCAAGTCGATTAGCCCCCAGTTGATTAGCCCCCACTGAGTCGATTAGCCCCCAAACTAGAAGTCGATTAGCCCCCAATTGAAATCTGTATCCGACTTAGTAGATTACACTTTTGCTACGATTTAGTTCGTTTAGGTTTTATTGGGTTTCTGTTTCTTTTAATTTTTATTTCAAAATAATAACTCATGTTGATCATTGACTTTTGAAGATGTGGTGGCTCCTAAAGGAGCCGTTGGTGTTTCTGCTAAGTCCAGCGACCTAGCAGCTTGTTCAGAAGCTTGGCCCATTGATATATGAACAAGCTCTTAGAAGCTGTCGGGCGTTCTTGTCCCCACTCCAATATTCATCCCATAGGCTAAATATCTTGGCCTGCTGTTTCCTGTACTTTCTTCGCTGTACCCGCTTCAGCTTTTTCTCAGACACCAGCCGGATGTGAAGGGATGTCAGTCGGGCTTCTCGATGAAGCAGATCGATCAGGAGATACAGAGGAAGCTGAGATCTGCTGGAGGCGCGACGGTGAAGTCCGTGATGCCAGCCCTCTACGTCGTTGTTCGTTCGTACGGACTGTAGGAAGACGGTCCAGGTCGACGGCTCCCAGGTGCTGCCTTCTATCCAGGTTGATCGGACGTACTGGATGAACTGTCTAAGGTTTCCCTCCTCGGTTACTTGCGACTCCAAACGCTCAAACTGTGGTACAATCTCGTCTTCAGGAAGGAACGGCAATGCCATCACGCGACGGATGAAGTCGTGAGTTCCGCGGTCATCCCTGTAGGACTGTTGAAGACCCAAATCCTGGACCTGAAGTAAGTAAGTAAGAAAAAATAATTAAGGTTTTTCATTAAAAAATGACCTTGTTTCAAAAGTCATCGTTTCAAAATAAAGGTTATCCTATCATAAACAAAAATCCTCAATATTTCATAATTCGCATATCACATTTGATATTTGTTTTTCTTCGTACTAAGTTACAAACCATCAACCGGTTTATACATTTATACATTTATCTTATCTTATCTTATCTTATCTTGAACATTTCACATCTCACAATTATATGCTTACAAAATATCAATGATTGAACCCTAATTGTTTGTTTTCATCTTTCTTCAACTAACATTGTTCAACTGACTCGCTTTTTAATGTCGTTTTTTTGTCATAGTGGTATATCAAACCTTACACCTTTTTTAGGATGTGATTAAATCATATAAGATGCTATCTTAGTTAAATTGATAGCGGACTAGTTTCCAATAACTTCAACGAGTTAAAGGCGGCGGAAAAAAACAAACGACAACAACAATAAGGTATAGGTGTGCACTATTATTGCTACTGTTCAAGTCGATGGTCAAATTCGAGAGGATCGCGGAAATTATATGAGAGTTCTTCTGTCACTGGCTGAACGGATTTTTAGGTAATAGGTTACGATTACATTATTTAATAGTCTTTTAACCCACTTGTACACTAGAATTAAATGTTACATAGACCTACAAAGTGAATTCTTCTGATTATTTGGTGTCGCCGCATATTTGTTCCATTAGACCTCAAGAATACTGAGTCGCCCCCGTCAAAGTGGCTACACGCGCGTCGCTTTTTGATTGCCTTTTCGCCTATAGGGCTCTCTAAATTCTTTGTTAAAGAGAGGAAGTCGTGAACTCGCTTAATTTTTCTAATGGCTAATTCATTTCATCATTCTAAAGATTGTTAACTGATGCTGATATAAACGAGGCAAACGGGAACAAAGCACGAAAAGGCTAAAACAGTATTATTGGTTACACAAAAAAGTTACTCTTTGTATTTTTTCGTTTTTGGGGTCTTTGGATTACCTGACTACCCCGCAACTGATTTTGTTTTAATATCTTCATCAAAGTTGCCTTAAACAAGCTGCTCGTTTAAATTTTCGGAAGGAATGTAAGATCTCTTTACGATATATTATGATTAGGGTCACAGCTATTGCCATACAATAGAGGGAGGGCTAGAGTCTTTGCCAAAAAGTTTATAGGATTTTCCCCTCTTTCTTCCCTCTCTTATAGTACAAAATATATATTCAGTGTTTCCTTTTTTATTAAGTGAACAAGGTGGGGAGGGGAGTTTGGAAGTGCGACATCCGATAAGAACTGCGCAATAGACTAGGGTCATATTACATGTCAAATTCCCGTCGAAGTAAATCTTACCTTCTGAAATCAGCTTATTCCGAGTAATCATCCACTGAGTTCTGTGTGAGAAGTACTTTGACGTTGTCGCCAACGGTTGGGGGGTTGATCGAGGTCTAGTTGTTCTCCCAATAAAAATAGCATTTTCTGAATTGTTGGATATGGTGGAACAATCTAGGAAGATAATATGAAAACGAGTTACCCGCTTCAAAATCAAAGTTTGCTTTCAACTTTCCTTTTTTTCTAACTGTGATTTTTAATTGGGTTAACATAGCTTCGGCATGATCATGAACTTACTGACATGCTTTTCACATATATATCCTGGATCTTCATCATACACGTCTGCTTGGCACGGAATGTTGTGATACTTTACGTTTAGCCACATCTCTTCGCATTTTTCTTTTCCAAAATTGTTTGATTCTCCTGTATTCCAACGCCATGTTCCAGCTGATGTCCCGTTGACCCAGGCGATGCTTCCACTCAACCAGTCCCACGTATGAGATCCATCAACTCTTTCCAAGCCAATGAACCAACGTGTCTTTGTTCGCTTTTTGGTTAAGTTCTTGACAAAGTACCATTCTGATTCGGTTTCCATAGAGACAAGTGAACCATTCTCTTGATCGCAACATTTTTCCTTGGCTGCCCTCCAGCTATTTTTTTCGTCGTGGAAAGTATACTTGGAGCAGATCGCAACTAATGTTTATGGAAGCCGACCGATAAAAGAGAAAAAAGACAAACAAGGAAAAATTATCTATTTACTTATCTTTTAATTGGAAATACCATTCAGTAATTATAAGAAGCTACACAGAAGGAGAACTGAATAAAACCCTCGGACACACACGAAAGTTTTTACATCTGCCATGGTGCAGTAAGGATTGGGTGAACGAGATTGTAAATTTCCAAGATTAGATCACTACATAAGTCAAAAAACAACTGAGGGGTGGCATCCACCTTCCCTTCCCCTTCAATCCCATGTTTAACGAAATAAATGTGAACTTGAACTCTGTTTCTGCATTATAACAAGGATTATAATAAAGTTCGGATATAACGCGTGCTGTCATTGGTTGAAAAAGCGTGCTCTATGAGAGTATAGAGCATGTCACGCCATCTGCCAAATTGTACCGTGTCGACCTTTTCCGACACTTCTTTCTAGCTTTTCTTTCGTAAATTGAAAGTGAAATTTCGGAACTAGCGAGCAAAGGTTTGCAAGAATGCCAGGCGCAGTAATTTACGTTACTGTAACGTGAGCAGAGACAAAAAATCTAGAAATTCTTAAAGATAAAACAAAATAGACAGTCCGAGTTTTAAAGGTTTTCACGCTCCGTTAGACTGCAAGTTTACGTACGGTGATAAAAATCAAACACAACTAGCACTTGTTAGTATATAAAGTTTCGTGTTCAAAAAAAAAAACAGAAAAAAAAGGAATGATGAAAAATCTGGTATAACTGTTGAAATTCATACTAACCATGACGGTGTCAGAGCGACTACGATCAAGCTGAGGTCTATCGCGGCTAGCTCATCATGGCGATCTTCGGTCATCGCAGTGGAGCTAGCCACAGGAACTAAATCGACTACCCTTCGAGTGGAAAAATAAGAGCTTGCTCTGATAACCTTTCCGATGCGTTGAGTGGAAGGCCACATCAGTCACTGCAGCCGAGTTTTACGGCGCCGTCATTCCGAGCGATCTTCATGTCTTGGTGAATTTGGCTGTCGTTCATTCATAAAACACTCCCCTTGAACAGTTTGTTTTCTTCTTGTCATGTGAAATAGCGTATTTTTGTGAGCCACGATTGGGTCGAATTTCACTGAAAATTTCACTTTCAGCTTCTGTATTTAAAACTAAAAAACCTCTGACAAAATGGTTAAATTCGACACGCCGAACTATTTTAGTTTGTAAACTATTGCAGAATATGAACTTTGATGGTTTTTGAACTTTGATGGTTTGACATTTTTGACAGCTTTAGTCTTGTACAGCCTATCAGATTATTTGGACAATTCTAACAGGGATTCTGATTGGTTTATTGTAGCGTGCTTTATGAGAGTATAGAGCATGCTGACGACACTGTTGTTCGCTTTAGAAATAAAGTTTGTTTTCAAAATTGAAAGTAATTCTTGGGGAATTTAAAGAATTCTTTATTATAAAACAAAAAAAAGAAGCCTTGACTATGCTCTGTTCTGCTGTCAAACCACTTAGGAAGCGGCTAGAGCACTCAAGAAGTAGAGAGAAACACTCGACTACGTCTCGTGTTTCCCCCTACACTTCTTTCGTGCTCTAGCCGCTTCCTGCGTGAATTACCAAAGAACAGAGCACAGTCAAGGCTTCTCTATTTGTTAAATAGAAGTAAGTAAGGTTTATCTATAAAATCGTGTATATAGCTAAATACTACATGTTTACGCCACGACATGAATACACGCGTTTAATTTAACTCGCAGATAGACAGATATTCAGATGTACGGATGTGTAGATGTGTAAATGTGATTCGACAAAAAATTAATTATCTAAGTGAAAATAAAACAACACCAAGAATAAGGACAAAGCTACATGAAATAGAAACGAACTTACAATTTGTGGCGTAACCAGGTTAGATAGTAAAATTCTTAAACAAAAATAACACGGTGCCAGCAAAAACTAACGAAACGACTGAGTTAGTTACTTATACCGGCGAGAAATAAAACGTTACTGCTGCTACGTGTTCTTGCACAACCTCACGCAAAAACGCGAACTTGTAAATTGAATCGAAATATAACATGCAACAGTAGTCCAGTTGAAAGAAGAAAAATATAAAATAATTCTGCAATTACTTGACGATAAACATAACTGCAAATTCCGGTTGCTACAGCGTAAAGCTTTAACTATTTTAACTATTCCCTCACAAATGATATTTTTCTAGCTTTTGCACTAGTTTTATAAGTGGTGAGGACTTAAAACTTTTTCGTGTAGGTTCTTCAAAGCTGATTTGTGGAGCATCAAGTAATGGTAATCGACTCATATCCTTTGCAATTTTTTCTCCAACCCATCCATCGACCCTGTTCGCTTTTTCCTGCCAAATATATACAAACCTGAAGTTTCTAGAAAAAGAGAGATGGTAAGTTTTGAGCTCGGTAAAGATATAAAGAAAGATGTTTTTCGTCTTGTAACGGTCGTGGGACAACGAAAAAATACTGAGTCCGGCATTAGGAATCGAACCTCAAACCTTCGCATTCCGCGCCCCGATGTTTTACCACTGAGCTACAAAGACTCTACGATGAGCGATATCTATTACGAAGTTTATATGACACGCGTCCTGCATACTGCTGGGATAAGCAATGTCGATTGCCTCAACTTTGAAAACCTAACATACTTTCGGTGAAAAGCATTGAAACATTTGGAGCACAGTCCCCGCAAAAAAAGATACATTTACTGTATACACGTTCGAGGGCCTTCAGTTCATATTTTACAAGGATGAGTTCAAAGAATGATTAATTAAAAACCTACGAAGAAATGTGCTTTCCATCGGTGGCATGGTCTTCAGTAACATTAGTAATGCCAAATGAAAACAGAAATATGGTGCAAATAACGGTCCTCAAATATCCCTTAGGTTCCAATTTAGCGCAAAAACTGTCTAAGATGTTCAGTAAGGTTGAAATCGAAATTGTATAAGGTGTTTAAGGAACAGAGCTGACCGAAGCAGAGGGAAGCTGATTTCTAGAGTATCAAGTTATGACAATTGACTCACATCCCTTTCAAATTTGTTCCTCAACCATACGCCGACCCTGTTCCCTTTCCTTGACAAATGTATACAAACCTGACCTTCTTTCAAAGGAAAGCATTAATTCAGTTGCACCATCATCCCCGCAAGAAAGATACATTTACAGTGTGCGCGTTTGATTACCTTCACTTCATGTTTTACCAAGATGAATACAAAGTATAATTATATACTTAAAGATGAATTTACTTACCTTCGGGGACTTTGTCTTTAGTAGCATTAGCAACACCAAGTGCAAACAGTAAAAAAGTACGAGCAGCGTTCTTCATAATTTCCTGTATACTCCTATTTAACGCAGATACGGTCGAAATGTTCAGTGAGGTTGAAATCGAAATTTTTATAGGGTGTTTAAGGAACAGAGCTGACAGACGTTTCTTGTTCTTTGTTTGTTTGCTTGTTTTCTTTTTTCTTTCGATGTGGTAATACTTCTTTAATCTATTTTTACGTAATATGCGCTTGATTTTGTCAAAACTAATACAACGGCACAGACAACAGAAAATTAACGAAAAACCGGCTTTAATCCACTGCTTCTGCCGTAACCATGTAAAAGCAAGTATTCCATGGCCAGTTTTAAGGAGCCTGGAACGTTTTCTTTTTTATCTTATTTTATTTATTTTTTATTATTATTTTTTTGTTGTTATTTATTTTTCTTTTCCAGTGAAAATTTCGACATGATGCGAAGGAGTAAAGCAGGTATACGCTAAGGTAAATAAACTTATTCTTTAGTCAGAGTTATTATTCATTTTAGGGGTGTTCATTTATGATTTACTATAGTATCTCACGCTCACTCTTAAATTATTTCAAAATTAATGCCTATTATTCATGTCAAATAAAATGATTTTTGCCTGATCGGAAAATGAGCTCTTGATCTTGGAAAAAGCGGCATTATGCGAACGCTTTCTGGATTTTTTTTGTCAAATGACAATCCAAAATTTCCCGTTGCTTTCCAGCCGGTGAATTGAAGTATTCCGGTCCTTTCCCAGCGGTTTTCCTAAACGTTTAACACCCAGAAAACGATTGTTTCCTATTGATAACATCACAGTTAACAGCCGGCGAACATATTTGTTCAGTCAATTTGAATTATTTTCCCGAATTGGGAAGGTTTTCCATAGGGGATGCATTTCATCAAAATTCGGCTATGTATGTTACAGTTGTGGTTACTGATTATTGTTCACAGAAAACTTTAGTGGGCGATAGCAATGATATTGTAGCTGGCTATAACAACAGAACCAACGAGATGAAGCCGGTGTTTCGTTTATTTCGAATTATCTAGAATTATAGGAAGAGCTGATTTCTCTTAATCATTAATAAATCTTGTCTATTTCAGTTCAATTTCACTCCGCGCAATATTGCCCCCATCACTTAAACATATTTGTCTGTGAAGTAGCCTAAATGGCGAGGCAACTATGTCTGTTAATTTTTCCGAGCAACAAGAGCTCTGAGAAAGTAGAAATGAATATAAGGGGTCAAGTAATGCGGCGGTAAACGTTCAGGGTAGAGTTTGGATTAGGCACCTACATTAAAAGTAGGGGCATAGGAGTTGTATTTGGCCATGCTTCCAAGATAGTTTATCGTACAATTTCAGCACGACTCGATCCTTTAGACTGACAATCAATCTGGATGAGCAAATTATACTGTTTTTGAAATCTTACCGCTAAGAGTAAAAATAGCCTAGCATAATTACTTCGAGCAGGTAACAATAGAGAAACATTTCCCCTCCCTTTTTGCACTTTACACCCCGAACGAAGGGGTCCGCTTGCCGACAACCGTCACATCTTCTATCGGGCATGATCGAGTTGCGTTGAAATTACGGTCAAGGACTTTTATTATGGGCTTCCCCTTGCGAAAA